CATTTATAAATTTATTATTAAATGATAATACTATGTGTCAATCATAATATAATATGGTCGCTCTTGAATTAGGACTACAGCAAACTATGGTTTTGATGGAAATTACATGGCATCTTCTTGGTTAGTTGTGAGGAAGTTGTGTCCACTTTCCACATTGTGGACAATTATTTTTATATTTAAGTAGACAATATTCTCATCTCCTCCGGCACCGGAATTGTAATTTTCTCCACAGATCCGAAAGGAAAAAATGGAAAGCAAGCCAGTGATTTTTGCTAATGCCACCAGTGGTGATTCCTCATCGCCGGTTGTGATTGTCGATGGAAATTCCTCCCAACAGGTTGGTTTTTCTACTCTTTCTTTCTCTCTCTCTATTCCCATTTTTCTTTTTCTCCGCTGCACTTATACTTGGTTTTCCTTATTTCTAGAAAATTGAAAACACACCCGTGACTACTGCTAAAGCCATCAGTGATTTTATCTTATCGTCGGAGCCGGTTGTGAGACGTTTCGTCCTCTGCCAGTTTGGTCTCTCTCTCTCTTTTCCCTTTTTTTTTTCTTTCCCCATGTTAGAGTATGTGTGACTCATATTTGTTGTGTGCATAATGGCAAGGAGGCAGATGCCGGAGTGGGATTTGTATAAAGGGGACGCTGATTAGTTGGGGGTGCAGGGGCAACGCCCCTGCGGTACGGTACAGGGGTATTTTTGTAAATACATCCGTATTAGGGTTATATAAATACTTAAGATGTAACCCTACTTTGAATAATGAAAAAGAACGGCTGCTCGCTCTCGTGGATGTAGGCACATTGCCGAATCACGTAAATCTCTGTGTGTTATTTTCTCCTGCTTTCTTAATTGTTTGATTCCTTACTATTCACCATAATTGCTGCACGATCACAACAACTGGTATCAGAGCTAGACTACAATGTCTGGGATTTCCTCTACAAAATTCAACATCATGAAGTTCGACGGAACTGAGAATTTTGAATTATGGCAGAGGAGGGTGAAGGACCTGTTAGTGCAGCAGGGCATGGTGAAGGCATTATACGGAAAACAACCGACAGGAATGAACGACATGGATTGGAAAGAATTGGAAGCGAAGGCTGTGGCGACTATTAGGCTTTGTCTGGCTGATGAAGTGATGTATCACGTCATGGATAAGGAATCACCGGCGGAAGTTTGGTTGAAACTGAAAAGTCGGTATATGTCCAAGTCGTTGACGAACAAGCTCTATCTTAAGCAGAAACTCTATGGTATTAAGATGTTAGAGGGCTCGGATTTGACCCAACACATCAACGTGTTCAATCAGATCATTAGCGATCTGAAACGAGTTGATGTGAAGTTCGAAGGCGAAGACAAGGCGCTGATGTTGCTGAATTCCCTACCGGCGTCTCCGACGTACGAGAATTTGGTTACAACTCTGATGTGGGGGAAAGAAACCCTCGAGTTGGAGGATGTCACAAGTGCTCTGTTAGGTTTTCATCAGCGGAAGAAAGTCAGTGATGGGACTTCACAAGGTGAAGAGCTTGTGGTGAAAGGTAACCAGGAACGTGGAAGAAGCAACTCTCGGAATGGATCGGGTAACAATAAAGCCCGGTCCAAGTCGAGGAAAAAGAAGAAGGACGTCTCCGTCTCGTGTTACAAGTGCGGGAAAAAGGGGCACTTTAAACGGGACTGTCTAGAGAAAAAGAAAGGGGAATCAGAGGACAAAGAGGGTGCATCAAAGTCTGCAAAACGTAATGGAAGAAGAAGTTTTAGAGAGTGGTGACGGTGATATGCTTTCTGTTTTATCTAGTTCAGATCGTTTAACAGATTCTTGGATTATGGATTCAGCATGTTCCTATCACATGACACCCAACAAAGATTGGTTTGACACCTACAGGTCAGTAAATTCTGGTTCTGTTCTGATGGATAATGATGCATCTTGCAAAGTTGTTGGAATAGGAAATATTAGAATTAAGATGTTTGATGGTATGGTTAGAACGTTGTGTGATGTTAGACATGTACCGGATCTAAGGAAGAATTTGATTTCATTTGGCACTTTGGATTGTAATGGTTATAGTTACAAATCTATAAGTGGAGTAATGAAAGTGAGTAAAGGCATGCTGACAGTGATGAAAGGACAGAAAGTAGTAGGAAACATTTACAGACTGCTGGGTACTACAATTGTAGGTGGAGTTGCTGCTGTAGAGTCTGAATCAGATAATACAGTCTTGTGGCATATGCGGCTGGGTCATATGAGTGAGCGTGGGATGATAGAGCTTCATAAGAAAAATCTATTGAAGGGTGTCAAGACATGCAAGCTCAATTTTTGCAAATATTGTGTTCTTGAAAACAGAATAGGGTGCAGTTCAAGACAGCCACACACAAGACAGAGGGGTTCTCGACTATGTCCATACAGATGTTTGGGGACCAGTTAGCGTAGTATCACGGGGAGGATACATGTATTTCGTGAGTTTCATTGATGATTACTCACGAAAGGTCTGGGTGTACTTCATGCGACACAAGTCAGAAGCGTTTGCCAAGTTCAAGCTGTGGAAAGCTGAAGTAGAGAACCAGACAGGGAGGAAGATTAAATGCCTCCGGTCAGATAATGGTACTGAGTACACAGATTCAAAGTTCCAGGAGTTGTGTGAGCAGCATGGGATCAAGAGACACTTCACAGTCCGTAAGACACCACAATAAAATGGTGTAGCGGAAAGGATGAACAGAACGATAGCCGAGAAACTCGGTGTCTCAGGTTGAATGCAGGGCTTGCAAAGAATTTCTGGGCAGAGGCAGTGAATATGACATGTTTCTTGATTAACAGATCACCGAGGGCAGCACTGGATGGGAAAGTATCAGAGGAGGAGTGGACAGGCAGTGAGGTAGACTACTCTGGTTTGAGAGTGTTTGGATGTCTAGCCTATGTACATGTTTCTAGTGAGGAGAGGTCGAAGCTTGATGCGAAGTCTAGACAGTGTATCTTTCTGAGATATCAGAAAGGAGTGAAAGGCTTCAAGCTCTGGGATCCGAAGGCAAACAAGATGGTGATCAGTAGAGATGTGGTTTTTGATGAAAAAACCATGTTGCAGCGTACTCAGGAAGAAGAGAAACAAGTACCAGAAAACTGTAGCACTAATGACCATGTGGTGTAGGTGGAGCTTGAGAATCATGGTAGAGAAGAGGATGCTCAGCATGTAGAGCGTTCTATCTCAGGTGATCAGCAGCATCATAGTATAGCCACAAACAGGCCCAAACGCAATATCAAGCCGCCTACCAGGTATGGTTTTGAAGATTTGGTTTCTTATGCGCTTATTACTAGTAGCGGGGATCCTACAATTTTTTAGGAGGCAGTACAAAGCCAAGAGAAAAGTAGATGGATGGGTGCTATGGTGGAGGAGATGGAGTCTCTGCATAAGAACCAGACGTGGGAGTTGGTGGAACTTCCCGAGGGGAAGAGAGCAATAGGGTGCAAATGGGTGTATAAGAAGAAAGAAGCAGTATCAGAAAATGAGGGAGAAAAATTCAAGGCTCGTCTAGTAGCAAAGGGTTACTCACAGAGAAAAGGAGTTGACTATGATGAGATCTTCTCCCCCGTGGTCAGACACACTTCCATCAGGACAGTGTTGGCACTAGTAGCACATTCAGATATGCAGTTGGAGCAGATGGATGTAAAGACAGCTTTCCTTCATGGCGACTTGGAGGAACGGATTTACATGGTACAGCCAGAAGGGTTCAGTCTCCCTGGAGAGGAACATTTGGTCTGTAATTTGAAGAAATCACTTTATGGGCTGAAGCAGTCTCCGAGGCAGTGGTACAAACGATTTGACTCTTACATGATCCGAATTGGCTACAAAAGGTGTGAGTATGATTGCTGTGTCTATGTAAAAAGGCTTGATGATGATTCATTTATTTTTCTGTTACTTTATGTGGATGATATGTTGATTGCTGCCAAGAGTATGAGTGAGGTCAACAAGTTGAAGACTTTGTTGAGTAGAGAATTTGACATGAAGGATTTGAGTGCGGCCAAGAAGACTCTTGGGATGGAGATTCGCAGGGACAGAGCTTCCAGGAGATTATGGCTATCTCAGCATAGTTATGTTGAGAAGGTGTTGGACAGGTTCAGCATGAGTTATGCAAAATCAGTAAGTACATCTTTGGCGAATCATTTCAGATTGTCTACCGCTCAGTGCCCGAAGACAGATGATGAAGTTCATGACATGTGAAAGGTCTCATATGCTAGTGCAGTGGGGTGTTTGATGTATGCTATGGTTTGTACAAGACCAGATTTGGCACAAGCTGCCAGCGTGGTTAACAAGTTTCTTTTAAATCCGGGTCAACAGCATTGGGATGCAGTCAAGCGGATTTTCAGATACTTGAGGGGCACTACAGACTATGACATCATGTCTAGCAGACAACAGAGTGACCCTTCAGTTATGGGATATACGGTACAAGTGTATTTTTGTAAATACGTCTGTATTAGGGTTATATAAATATTTAAGATGTAACCCTACTTTGAATAATGAAAAAGAACGGCCACTCGCTCTCGTGGATGTAGGCACATTGCCGAACCACGTAAATCTCGGTGTGTTATTTTCTCCTATTTTCTTAATTGTTTGATTATTTACTATTCACCATAATTGCTGCACGATCACAACACCCCAGTTATTGAGACTCGCTGTCTATTCTCTCCACTTATAATTGGTTTTGTTGGGGTCTATAGCAGCCAATTACTCACCGAGAACAACAAGAATAAACAAATGACAGAACAAAAAAAAGGCTGCATGTATTACAATGATTCACTCCAAAAACACCTCTTTGTTTCATCAAAAACACTTCAATACAAATCAAGCAAATACAAGGGAAGTTTACCTGAATTTTTCAGCAAGAAAGACACACAAAAACCAGCCCTTAAAACCAACGGATGAAGCTTCAGCGGCACCTGCTGGTTTTTCTTCCCAGCAAAACACTCTGTTTTGGGCAGCACCCCTTTGGTTTTCTCTCTCTGCTTTCTGCCGAAAAGATCTGCCTTGGGCAGCAGCTATTCAACAGCTTTTATAGCCAATTTCTCAGGCCTAAATCCGATCTTTTTATGCCAGCATTCCCACACCTTCTCTCCTCTGTTTTCCTGCCAAAACCGACTTCAGTGAGCAGCATTTTCAGTTCATTCTTCGAGCAGAAACCGATCCTCATTCGATGCCATGATGCACCAACAGACTCAGCTGGTGGCTGCCCCTTGTAGGCAGTGAAGCTCCATGAATGGGCAGAAAGGGTGTTGAAGAAACCTTTGTGAGGAGGTTTATTTTTGAAGAATCGCTGTTCTTCGCTCAAAATAATTCAGGAGACCTCTGTTCTCATTTTTGCCTGTTTAATATCTTGAGACGAGTACAATGAGGATCAAAACCAGGCAATTCCTTTTAGTCAAGCCCAGTTGAAATGGCAGTCAGGAAGGTTCTCGGCAGGTTAGGAAGGACAGTGTTTCAAACCTCCCTTCCCTTTGCTTTCAATCTGTCTTGTGCCACTGCAGCTTTCACTCATCCATTCTTTGAACTTGCTTAATAGGGGCAACCTTCACTCTCCATTTTGTGCCCTTTCAAAAATGTCAAGCCGCTGGCTTTCCAAGGCTACTAAGAGACACCAATAACAAGCTAATTGCTAATAAGAATTCAAACTAATAACTATTTATGTGTGGGTGTGTAGATCTAAGTAGATTTGTATAGATTTGTGTGTGTGTGTGTGTGTGCGATTTGTGGGTCTGTGTGTGCATTTTTGTGTGCGTGGGTGTCTGATTTCTGGGTGTGTGTGTGTGTCTAATTTGTGGGTCTTGGTTGAGGATATGGTATCTGCGTGGCTGTGGGTCTGTGTTTGTGTGAGTGTGTGGCTGTGTATGTTATATGTGTGAGACATAGATTTATATAGTCTCTTGGTGCCCAACTCATGTGAATTGAAAGTTCAGATGGACGAGCAGAAATTACGATTAATAAGTTGCCATCTATTCTCAAACTGTGTATAGTTAGCGGTGGGGTCCTGTAAAATTATGTTTCAACAGTTAGCTACCTATTGTGTTCCTCAAATTATCAATGGATTTTGCAAAAATGTGTTGTTATTTTGTACTTCCTTGTATTTTCATATTTATTTCTTGTTTGCTTCCTCCTAATCTATTCCCCCTCACGTTCTCCATCCTCCTCTTTTGGTTGATCCTCCAGTCCTAAACATGTTGTGTGTTATGTGTTATGATTAGTCAAGAAATAAGGCATGTGCTGCATTTGGTTCCAGCTGCAGCAGCAGATTTTGGGGTTCATGGTTACAAAGTTGAAAATAAATGGCCTCAAAATTTAGATCTCTCGTGATTTCAACTTGTTGAAGTGATTACCAAATATATTTTTTTTTTTATAATTTGATAAACATAAATAACTACCAAACATATTTTTTATTTTCAATTTTTTATCACAAAGAAAATAAAAACTGTTTCTATTTTTTATTTTTTAAAAAAACACAAAAAAATGTTAACAAACGCACTTAATTTTCCTTATTTGCTAGAAAATGGAAAAAACACCCGTGAATGCTGCTGAAGCCACTAGTGGTAATTTCTCATGGCCCTGGGTTGATAGTGACTGTGTCATGGAGGAGGCTGGTTTTTGCACTCTTTCTTTCTCTTCCCATTTTCTTTCTGCCGCTTTTGGGACTCACTTTACATCCTCTATCTCCATTTATGGCCGGTTGTTTTCCTTATTTGTATTTGTTTAATTATGGAAAAAGGCAACAAACATGAAAGGAGAAAAAGAACAGAAAAGTTGTTTCCGAAAAATTTCACTCACATCTCGTCTGATTTATTATATCTTGAATGACACTTTCTCTATAATTCAAATCATCACAGACACTCCTTATCATTAAACCACCCTTTATAATAAAAAAAAAGGGAAAATTATGTGTAGATCTTTTGAGATTTATCACTTACTCACTCAAATTACTTGATATTTAAAATATTACACACAGATCCCTTTAAGTTTTTAGGCGTGTAATACTTAGACCACTATCGTTAGTATATTTTTTAGTAAATTATATCTCTGCTCCTTAAAGTTTGTAGACATAATACTTAGATTCCTCAAGTCAAAAATGTTATACTTAGACCAAAAATACTACAATCAAATATAAAATATTAAATATTTTAAATTTTATAACCAAAATTTATGTTCTGTTATATCATTTATTGAAATCAAATCAAAAATTAAAATTTATTTTTTCTTAAAAAATCGTAATTAGTATACAATTATATTATCTATTGGAATAAAACTAAAAAAAATTAAATAAGGGGTCTAAATTATTTATAATAGAACATGAATTTTACAACCAAAATTCATGTTCTATTATGTCATTTATTGAAATAAAATTAAAATTTAAAATTTATTTTTTTTGTAAAAAAATCATAATTAGTATACAATTATACTATCTATTGCAATAAAACTAAAAAATCAAACAAAGGTTAAACTGTAATGGACACAATATCTTCTATCTTTAATTGATATAATTTGGTAGTTTAATTCTACACTAATTATGATTTTTTAAGAAAAAAATTAGATTTTTATTTTTAATTTTATTTTAATAAATGTCATAATAAAACATAAATTTTGGTTGTAAAATTTAAAATATTTTATATTCTATTTTTGATTGAAGTATTTTTTATCTAAGTATAATATTTTAAATTTTGGGGGCCTTGGTATAATTTATTAAATGATATACTAACAACAGAAGTCTAAGTGTTGTGCGCGTACAAATTTTAGGGGTCTATATGTAATATTTCAAATATCAAGGGGTCTAAGTGATTAAGTAATAAATTTCAAGAGCTCCAGACGTAATTCTCTCTAAAAAAATATTTGAAGTGCCAAAATTACCCCTACATAAACTCCAAATAATATTTCTATATAAAATTTGAATTAATTAAAATTTGATTCGAGCTGATTAAAATTTATTTTTTTCGTATTAAAATTCGTGACTTAAATTTTAATACGCAAAAAAATAAAATTTAATCACTTCGAATCGGATTTTAATTGACCTTAATTTTAATACATAAAATTTTTTTGAAAATAGAGAATGTCCCATTAAAGATATACTTATCTAAAGGGGTGTAGATAAAGTTTTTTCTAAAATATGTCATAGATAATTTAGTAAAATTGCATTCTGATGTTTTGGATAATAAAAGGGGACTCATTGAAGATATATTTCTTTAGATGGGGTGTGGATACTAATTACCCAAAATGTTTTGATACTTGAAGCAGATATGGCAAAGCAACACACCACCACATACTCAGATTAGAATGCAGCCCCACTTTTTTAAATGAAAAGGAATAACAAGTTATAATGTATATATCAAGTTTTTTTTTAAATCTATTAATGCATACCTCTAAAAGGTTTTTATAACTGAAATAATCCTAGAAGTAATTCATAATCGATCCTAGCTTTATCATGTCGAATAATATCCTAAATAGATCCTACATTAAACTAGCTTTTTATATTGAAAATTGGTATTTTTATTTCTCCCTCTTTTCTCCAATCTCTATTTATATTTAATTTCTCTTCTTTAATTTAGCCTTATCAGGTATGAATAGTAAATGAATGAATTTTCTAGATTCACTTGACTAACATGATTCAAATTTATAAATATAAACAGGGCAGAGCTCCCTTTGGGTCATGTCCCATCAGTTCAATGGTTAGTAGTGTTTAGATCAACTTATGCACATTTTGACTAACTATCTTTTTAATTTGGTTAAAAATATATCATCGATGCCAAAATTAAGATATTTATTAGTAATAAATCCCTATGACCTGGCATGAAGGCAACCCACTCTACACTTTTTTTAGATTTTAAAAATTATGACGCCTCCCTCTCAAAATTTCAAAAGCTATATTTTCATTGATTGTATTAGAAGGCTTAATGACCGAACTATAGGATGCAAGGATAATGTTTAAATTTTATAATCCAAACTAAGTTTTATCGGCATAGGATTAAAGATCGAATCCAGGATTTGAGTCAAATCGACCCTTTTAGTCGCGATTTGGCACTTAGTACTATGCACAATCACACTTGGGCCATTATTCTATGGACTACGCTCTTGAGTTAGTAAATCTCCTATGTCTGACCCAATTATCATGTACCAGATCCATTAACGTTGGCTGTTAGATCCCTTTAGTAGATTGTCTAATTAATTTCAAGTAGTCAATGCATCTTTGTCACTAATCCTGAATATATCATGTTGAAGTTGATTTTGGATAAATTTCATATAAGTATAATTTAACAATAACAATGACTTGTTGAATAACATTCCTAATTTGGTCATTATTGGCCCCTCTATAAAATCTTGACTCCGTTCCAAAATATACGTGATAATAAAAGACAAAGTTTAAAAGGGTTTTTTGCATTTTACACCCTAAAAAAATCTCTTGATTCTCACTTTATACATTAAAAGATTTTTTTTTTTTATATTACACCTTGAATGTCATAAATTGATTCTAATGTGGCATTCAGACTAACATCTGTTTCAGATTCTGTTAAAAATTAATGCACTTGCCACCCGTATGTGATGTTCTTGAACAAAAATGTAAACTCACAATTTATATCCATGGGTGACATGTACATTATTTTTTAATGGAATTTGAAACGGACGTTAGTCCGTGGGCCACATTGGAACCAATTTATGACATTCCTGGTGTAATGCGAAAAAAATATTTTTTTGGGATACAAAGTGAGAATTGAGACATCTTTCGGAAAGAAAAACGCAAAAAATCCCATTTTAATATGACACAAACTCTAATTTTCACTAAAATAAATCGCATTAATATTTCTTTCTGTGTCTCTCGTGGCAGGCCCATGCCGCTGTGTTACCTTCTTTTGAAAGGTCCAATGGGGGATGGATTCGTGATACAGTGGAATTCAGTGTAAGTTGGTTGATTTCTACCTAGCTAGATGTTGAATTCCAAGACTACATTACTATCTTCACCTACATTAACAATCGGATTTTTTTGTCACATCTGTAATGGTCATTTCAACAGCCATACATAACATGTTCATAGCAGACGGATCTAGGTTGTAATAATAGGTCGAGGACAACCTAATATACAATTGATTTATCTACGTAAGGGGCTACTTGATTTTGAGTTATATATTATAAAATGTATTAGAGATAGGTGTTGCCAGGGCGGATTTGCAATATGGGCAGCTATCCACACTGCAATTTTATAAACTTT